ATATACACACTACATATATAATATGGTATATTCCAACAACCTAATATAGTATATATAATATAGTATATAGTATGAGGGTGAACATTTGGGAAGGAGTCTGGTTATGGGGAGACATTTTCCAGGGTATAAAGATAAAGAGATTTTATTTACTATTATTATTTTTATTATTTGAAAGACAGGATCTTGCTGTTGAGATTCTCCTGCCTCACTCTCTTAGGCTGCAAGGATTATGGGCACCCGTCACTGCACCTGGCCTTTAGGTTGGACCAACCTATTCCAGTTTTAAAAATAGGAAAGTAAGTGACATTTCATTAAAACGACTGCTAATGAATGAAAAGAATGTAAGGCAGACCCTGCCCTGAGAGCCTGTTGAGAGAATTGAGAAACAAGTAAAAGTATTCCTAAAGTATAACAGATTTCATGTCTATGTTTATAAAATACATTGAAACTTTATTTTTCACCAAGAAAAAAGTTTCATGTTATTTCTATACTAAGCCCTATATCATGGGTTTTTGCAGCATCGGTACTTTCATAAGTTCTATGTAAATGGTTGATTTATCATCTCCTATTTCAAGAAGTATTTTTGGCCATTTCAAAGTGAACTGTGCCTTTGAGTTGAAGATTAACTTGTTTAGAAGACTTTGTGCTGCCAAAAATACCAAAAGATAACAAAAAATAATAAAAAATAAGCAGCTCAAACTTGACTGATCTCTATGATAACCTAATTTCTCTCATGACTGTCTGTCCTTTGAAGCATCATTAACTCTATACTGTAAAGGAGTTGCAATGTTTTGACCCTGACACATAAGAAATTAACTTCAAATGGAATCTAGAACAAACTTTCCGTAAACATGCAACTAAGAAAAAGTTTTATTGAGCCCCAAAAAAGTTTTCCTTTGCTTTCCCTCACCACTTACAGTTCATGATTTTGTGTCATTTTCCACCTAATTAATCCTATTCTGTTTTTCTATTTGTTTTGTTCTATCCTATGCTGTTTGATTTTAAATGTCAGTTGTGACAAGGTGATTTTATGAATTACTAATCAGTGTTAATGAGTACTTTGAAAAACATTGTTGTAGTCTAGGGTACAGTAAAGGATGAAAGCTAGAAATGCCTTACTTAACCAGCTAGGACGCCCCTGCTGTTGACGGGGCATTCGGCCAGTTATTGAGAATACAGTGGTGTACAGGATGGATGTGAACTCTACTGGTCAGAGTTTATAGGGCTAACCACCTTTTTAAAAATTATCAAACTTTGGGACCAGCAGATGGCATAATGGTTATGTAGCTGGACTCCCATGTAGTCAACCATAGTTTGAGTCCCAGACCCCGGGGGTTTGAAACTCACACCGGGCGCATGTGCATGTGTGCCCAAAATCTTGAGAGGAGAAAGGAGGAGAAGGGATTGCAGCATGGCCATCTCCCCGTGAGGGGTGATTTCTCACTTTCTGTCTCTCTGTCTCTCTCTCTGTCTTTTCAGTGAGCACGAGTGCCCTATAACCAAAAACGAGCAAACAAAAATAAAACTCTTTTAAAAAAAAATCACCAAACTTCTAGGAGCCAGCAGGTGGCATGGTGTTAAGGCGCTAGACTCTCACATGGTCAACCACAGTTTGAGTCCCAGATCTTACTGCTTGCTTTCTCACTTTCCCTTTCTTTCTCTCTGTCTTTCTCTGGTGAGTGCATGTGCCCTATCCATTTTTAAAAATAATGATAATAAAACTAACTAAATAATTTTTTTTTAAGTTACCAAACTTCATTCCCTATTGGGGTTATAGTAAGGAACCTTCTAAGGGGACTTAAGTCAGAAGAGATCTACACATCATGGAAGGGACTGGGGTGGAGTGAAGAGGGAGGCAGAGAATGCACTTACATCATGGTGCTGGGGGACCCATTCACTCAAGACTTTCCCGGTGGTAACAACGAACGCAGTTTTCAGGAATGAAGGCATTTCATTTGCTCTGATGACGTGATGATGAATAAACTTGGTTCTGTCCCAGCTATTGGTCTGATAGTGCAGGGGTAAGTGGCACTTAAATGATTAGAGTACAGTTAAATGATGCAGTCAGCCAACATAGCCATGATTGAGTTGTAGGGAGTTCAGAAATGGTTGGAAGTAGAGGAAATGGACACTCAAATAGAGAGAAATGATAGGACGTGAGGGTGAATATTTGGGGAGGAGTCTGGTTATGGGGAGACATTTTCCAGGGTATAAAGATAAAAAGAGATTTTATTTACTATTTTTATTTTTATTATTTTAAAGACAGGATCTTGCTGTTGAGATTCTCCTGCCTCACTCTCCGAGGTTACAAGGATTATGGGCACCTGTCACTGCACCTGGCCTTTAGGTTGGACCAAGAACCAAACTTGGGCCTCCCACATGGTCCCAGCCTTTGGGCACAGCATCTGAGCAGCATGCACTGTTAAGACTGGGCCGATGGGACCAGCAAATGGCTTAATGGTTATATCACTGGACTCCCACATGACCAACTGCTGTTTGAGTCCCAGACCCGGAGGCTTGAAACTCATGCCGGACACATGTGCGTGTGTGCCCAAAATCCTGAGAGAATGGAGGCAAAGGGATTGTGGCATGGCCATCCCCCTGGGGGGTGATTTCTTGCTTTCTGTTTCTGTCTCTCCATCAAGCGCTTGCACCCTATAGCAAAAACCTCTCCAAACAAGCAAACAAAAAGCTGGGTTGAGATTTGAATGTTTTTTACAGGTTGAGGGAAAGGAACCAATGGAGAGGCAAAGACAGGGCATCATTTACGGACCAGAGTACGACGCTGGTGCACAGAGTGGAGCAATTCACCTGGGAAAGACACACTAGCATGCAGCTTATGGATAAAACGAATGAATAGTAATAGCCAAAGCCTACACTATTAAATGTGTTATTTTATTCGTTTATTTTGCTGTAGGGTGTGTGCATTTGCGAGAAAGACAAAAGAGAGAGAGAGAGAGAAGGAGATAAAGTGAGAAAGCACCTTCCAGGGGGGATGGCCATGCAGCAAATCCTCCTCCATTTTCCTCTCAGGATTTTGGACATGCATGCACATGAATCAGGTATGTTTCTCAAGCCACCAAGTCCAGGACTCAGACCACTCAGTTAGCCATGTGAAATCCAGCTGCCCTAACCACCATGTCATCAGCAGGCCCTCAGATTTATTAAGAGCAGAAAATATTTGACATGGTAGGAATTTCGTCATTAGCTACCTTTTCTTAGTTTTTCAAATAATAGACAGCAATTTTGTCCTGAAATTGCTCCCTAAGTTACAAATTCTCTTGCTTTATTTCATTGATTTATCTGGGCTTGCCAAAACTACATCATCTTTCATGCTATGGCCCCCCTATTTCTAAACCTGGAATGGAGGGTGTTCAGAAAGGTGCAGGAAATGAAAGGGCACAGTAGGATGAATGTGTAGAAAGTGAACACACCTGTATGCATCTTGCAGCCCTTTTATGAAACAGAATGTTGGACTGGCCTGGTGGTTAAGGCAGTGGCTCCCACACAGCTGATCATGCGGTTGGAGTCTGGACCCTGTGACTTGAGAAACACACTGGACGCATGCGCAGAAGTGACCAAAATCCAAAAGGAGAGAGAAATGAAGGATAAGGGATTGTGGTGTGACCATGTCCCACGGGAGTGCTTCCTCACTTTCTCTTCCCCTCCTTTCCCCCCAGTGAGCATATGTACTCTCTGACAAATTAAAAAATGAGAGAAAAAGAAAAAACAAACAATGTTTTGTTTGTTTTTTTGTTTGTTCAGAAACCCCTCCCCACCACTCTTCCCCATTTTTCATCTAATCACTGTTCTGACTTGTAACAAAAGGTGCATTTTTAAATGAGAATATAATCTAAGTTCTTTGGTAGATAAATCCACATATGAGGTGGGTTTTTTTTTTCGAGGTGTTTCTTTAAACGTTGTCCAAATAAAGGTATTTGCAGCCTGTTCTCAACTGTTGACCCAAAATATTTCCTTTGCTTCTATATTGTTTGCCTAGTTGGAGTAAAAGTAGAGTGATGAGCAGACCAATCAGAAGGCTTTTGTCTAGAAAACTCCCCTTAGAAACAAACATTTTGAAATAAAATGGGAAGCAGAATTAAAACCAAATATGAACCAATTTATATAATGAGTAACCTGTTTCTAGCTATCTGATGC